ATAGTCGTCACCGTGTTCCATGGCCGCCACCTCATTCCTTCCCTTAGCTTAGTGTCCTCAGGCATCTTAGCAATGAGGGGGGTGAAGGATCTGAGAGTTTCGAGCCCCGGTTGGTTGATCTGATCCATCGGGGTGTCTTTGGGGTCCGTCCGGTCTGCTGTAAGTTTCTGCTCCCCCTGTAGAGCCTCTTGCAGTCTATCATCCTGATGGGTCCCAAAGGAGTCTGTCTCGAACACTCCCAAAGGGTAGCATGTCGTGATCTTCTCCTGCAGGATGGTGGCCACATTTTGGCCCTCGTCGATCCTGGGGATTGCAAAGGACACGTCTGTGGCCACTTGCCATTCCTTCTTTTCCTCCATGTAGCGTGCAGCCAAAAGTGGTCTAGTCCCCATAAGAGTCAACCTTGCAGACATTGCTTGGCCCAAAACCTCAAGGGCCTCGCCATCTGCTATGTGTCTGAGTGAGAAAAATTCTGATTCGTAGGCTGAGTTCAACTTCTTGAGCTTCTCAGCCTGTGCTTCCACCACTGCAATTTCCTGCTCAATCTCAGATCTGGCTGATTTTCTGTGGGTCCCGTTGCTGATTGGTCAATGCCGCTTGCTTTTTTGGTTTGGTTCGTGGTGGTCCTCCATTTGTTTGGTCTTAGGTCCTGTAGTACTTCTTTGGAGTCAACCTTTGTTATATCTTTGTCTTTGATGCCTTATTCTCTTGCCCTTTTCCTTTTTGCATATCTGAATGCTGCATACTCCGAAAATTCTTCTGCTTTGACCAGTAGATCAAACTGGTTAGAGGAAGTTTTGATACCTGCTGTTGAGCCTTTCTTAAGATTTTGTGTTCTTTCCATATGTTTCATGCAGTCAGTGCGGATATCAAAGAGGTGTTCATGTTCAGCTTTGGCTTTTTCAACATAGTCCCTCAGCCATTGGAGTGACCGCGTCGCTGGCTCCTCATCCTCACCGCTGAAAGCCGGGGGGGTAGTGGTATCCGTGGTCTTGCCGATTTCCCCCTGTTCACCTTCTGACGACGTGATTAGCTGTTGAGTACCCTCCGTGGTTTGTAACCTTCCTTTGTTGGCTGGGTCCATGCTCTTCCTCTTCTTCGGGTCCGGTTCTCTTCCCTTGTCTGCCTTTTCCTCTTCCCAAGTTCTTTTGCTTTCCGTCTGAGTCTGGTTGAGTTTTTTGTATGTTGCCTGTTTTTCCTCCCTCTCCTTAAGGCTGATAATTGCTTGGACTCTTGCCTGGATTCCTTCCGATTTTTTCCGGTATTCTTCTTCCATCTGTTCCCTGACCGAGTCCAAGTCCCACAGCAGATTCTCCCTGGCTTTCTCCTCCAAAATCACTCGAGAGTCATTGAGGGGAACAACTCTGATTTTTGTTGGGTTCCCAGTCTCCTTCCTTGTGGCCTTCTTCTTCCACCTGATGTCTGCAGGTGGGAAGATGTCCGGCTTTTTGGTTGCAGGTTCTTTGTCCGTGAAGTGCCAGACCCACTCCGGGTCATCGAGGTTATCATCAAAGACCCAGCCATCATAGGTTGGGTCTACAATGTACCAGGTACCTGGAGCATCCTCCACCTCAACCAACATGTTGGGGTGGGGTTTTCTTTCCTACTGTTGTTTAGGGAACTTGGGGCATGCAGGGTCCGACCCTACGTGGCCCCTCTCTCTGCACCTGAAGCAAATGGGTGATGTTTTTGTTGAGACGGTAATTTCTACCTCCCTGTCGTTGATCTGTAGTATCCATTCTGACGGAAAAACCGGTGGGTCGTCAGTTTTCACCTCCAGAATGGCAGTCATTGTACCCGTGTGGGGATAAAAAGTCCGGCGTCGGTATGATCCATTTAAGGATTTTATTGGCCGGATACTGTCTCTCAAGTCTGTCCACGACCAGCCCGTGGTATCCCGGCTCAATCCTGTCCAATTGTACCCATAATTTTTCTTTCAACAGAGTTTGCTTGTATGAAACCAAAAAGGATGGGTTGGGTCTTGTATTTGTCTGCTTTTTCAACGGGGAGATCGTGCAAATTGAGCCGTTACGATTCCTGGATTTCATTTCAGCTGCCAACTGTGCGTGATCTTCGGAATTGAAGATCACCATCACAGCTGTGCGGCCCAGGCTCATCAAAGAAAATGAATCCTTTGCAACTTTTAGTTTGTCTTCCTTGTTGATTGTTGCAGTGATCCATTTCTGCTTTTCTGTTGGCATCAGATCTGCCCCACTTCTGGCAAAGTTGAATATAACTGCATGTTTTTCGTGGAACTCGTCAAGCTCTGGGGCTTTGTCATCTGGGTATTTCCAAATCACTGTTTCCTCCTCTTCGCCGTCCGCGTTCTTGTGTTTTCTAATTACTACTTCCCCTTGCACTTTGGTTTTTTCGATGAGAAATTTTAAAGCCTCATTGACGATAACTGTGGCGAGTGCTTTGCTTGTTTGTGACGTGCGACTGCTTGCGTTAGAGCCTTGGAGTGTTTGCTTGAATGTTGCTGGCGCCCTGCCATTCCTGGGGCTCTGCATTGCTGCTTTTACAAGCTTCGACCTGTGTCTTTTATCGCGACTCTGTATGCAGGATTGTTTAGAATTTGATAGACACTGACTTGTCGGCTGGGCTATGACGTCAGTGTTACCTGAGAGCGTGTTTCTTTGTTTTCCTTTGGGATGATTTCAGTCAACCCCCCAGGGGCAGGTCCAACTATCAATGAGGGTTGGATTAAGCCCCCGAATCTGGATGTGTGCTATGCAGCGATGCTGAAAACCAGATCAATCGACATTGGCCGCACCTTGCCTCAGACACGTCCAGATGCAGGCCTCAAATCCAATCCCCTTTGCTAGTGGGGCCTCCGTCCTGGTGTCATGTTTCTTTTTTTTTCCCCTGGGTTCTGACCAAGGCGATCAATGCTTTTTTTTTTTTTTTTTTTTTTTAAATCAATGCTGATATTCTCCAGTCTCTATATTTTGTGAAACATTCAACTGGGCCCGTTGTCCTGGGCCTGTTTCCCATTATGTGATGGTCCCCACAAATGGATTGGAGCTTTGTTGGATTTGTAAAATAACAAAAAAAAAGACACATCTCTCGGATTGTTCGCCGGCTGATCCTATATTCAACATAATTGTGAAGGTGAGTAAACGGCCTAGCTCAGTTGGGTAGGCGTGTTAGTGGCATTCAGGAGGTCGAGTGTTCAATCCCCACTGACCTCCCTGGGCACACTCGGTGCCAACCAACCGAGATAGTTGGCTTGCTCCCCCGGTCGGTGTCTTCATAGTTTGTGAAATGTTCAATTGGGACGCGGCGCCCGTTTCCCATCATGTGCTGCTCCCCTGAAATACATTGGAGCTTCGTCGGATTTGGAATAATTGTCACGGCGTGCAAGTGGCACTCAGGAGGTTGAGTGTTCAATCCCCAGTGACTGCCTGCGGCACACTCGGTGCCAACCAACCGAGATAGTTGGCTTGCTCCCCCGGGTCGGTGTCTCCATATTTTGTGAAACATTAGATCCTTTGTTATTTAGTTTACGCGCTTCGAGATTTTCATATGATCCTCCAGGAATTGCTAACTCTTCGCATGCTTTATGACTTTCATCTATAGTATTTTGAAGATTTAGTTCACTTATTGGGATGCTGGGCCAGTTTCCCGCCACGTGCTGGTCCCCACAAATAGATTGGAGCTTGGTTGGATTTGGGGGGTTGGGAGTGGGGGGTGAAGGTGAGCTCACCATAATTGTGATGGTGAACAAGCGGCCTAGCTCAGTCAGTTAGGCATGCAAGTGGCATTCAGGAGGTTGAGTGTTCAAGCCCCGCTGACCGCCTTGGGCACGCTTGGTGCCAACCAAGCGAGATAGTGGGCTTGCTCCCCCCGCTCGGTATTGGTAGGGTCTTTAGCCATCACGTGTGTGTGCGAGAAGTCTGTAGTGTATAGGGCGACTGTTATCCTTAGACACCGCCGTTACTTGATGGGGGCGGGGGAAGGAGATGAGAGGAGCAGCTACTGGCAAAATGTTCGGTCGTTGCGTTGGCCACCCCTCCCAACTGCGCCCCGACCCTACTCCCTGACTACCCCCGATTAGGGTTTAGTGTTGCAATATGCATCCTCTTGATTCTGAGAGGTACCTCTGCTTGCAGGGCCACCCTGTATAGGCTAAGGACTACCGTCTTCACCCGAATAGAACGCCCGGTCACGCTGCATCTAGACTGAAAGTTGGGCCAAATGCAGCTATAATGACCGGGCGTTCTATTCGGGTCAAGACGGTAGTGGTAGGTCGGTAGTGAAAGGTGAATTTGAGAGAACAATATAGCTTAAATTTAGAAACAGAAAAGAGAACAAGAAAAAAAACTTTTTTTTTTTTTTTTTTTTTTTTGTCAGCATGGGGATATATTTTTGTTGTTGTTGGTTTTAAGGAAACATGTCAGAGACTTACCTTGCCAGGTGCCCACAAAAGCCATAAGCATCTTTAACCTCCACAGCTTGAATTGCATCCACGCACCTGTCACATGGTGATCACAGGACACCCCCCCCCCCCCCGACCCAACTCCCCCCCCCCCCCCCCCCCCCCCCCCCCCCCCCCCCCCCCCTCCCCCCCCCCCCCTTCCCCCCCTCCCTCCCCACCACCAAAGAAAAAAAATCCCTACAGGAGAAGTGCCCAAATATGGTATTCCTGATTCATGCTTTTTCTCTGTTTCACCGCCATTCGTCATCGCTGAGCTCCTTGTCAACGAAATTTGGCAGAGATGTTTACCAGCTACCCTTCTACCCTTAGAATGCGTTGCAATCACAACGCATCCAAACGCTGCAGAGCGACCAGGTGTGCTTGGAAGCTGGCTTGCTCCTACCTATTTGCGTTGGAGCACCTGATATGGCCTTTCCTTTTTTCTTCTTTAAAAAAAAAAAAAAAAATGGACCATTTCTCAATTTATGTGTGTCATCCTTGAAAGCGCAGGGGCCATGCTAATCTTCTCTGTATCGTTCCAATTTTAACGGATGTCCCGAAGGACCCTGATATGGCCTTTCCACGATTAAAAACATCTGGAAATAAATGCTTCCAGTTGAGCGTGCTGTGTGACCGCTGTGTGACCGCACTCCACTCAGCAGGAACCATCATGCAGACGAAGTTGGATGTTTGCAGATGGAAAAGAGCTGCTCAGTTCCTTCACCATAAGATCACACTTCTCTGTGCATTCAGTGTACACGTCTCCAGCAACCGTATTCAAATTACCACAGGATGTCAAAAAGCATCTGATGATTGCAATGGTTGCTACGAGACTCTCTTCGTTCTCCTCCTTGCTCTTTCGGTATGTGAATCTACACGACGCACAGTACTCGTGAACACACCTGCGGAGATGAATGCTCTCCAAGTTCGGGCAATTGAAAAAGATGCTGCACCATCCTTTCATCTCAACTTTACGGTTCCGTCCCTCTCGCTGTCCAACAAGAGTCGATGTCACTGACTGCGTCGTTTCCAGCGACGGGGTCAAAAATGACAGGCCCAATGACCCCTTTTCCCCAGGCTTGCCTTCCTCAAGAATGCTCTTATGGTGTCCAGATTCTGGATGAGAAGTCGCGTATAACCCCACCTCTGCTGAGCCACCCACCGGTAGCATTTCCCGTTTAAAATATTTCTCCATCCATGCCATAAAATGTGAGCTCATGTACAAGGACTTTAATTTCTGAAAGCCAGTGGCAGAAGCAGAAGCAGCATAACAGGCAGCAGGAGACACTGAGGCAATCTTCCCTGGAACAGGTGCAGCAGTACCATCATCACCTGGGCCCATGCTTCCTGAATCAGGACGGGCCACCATCAGAACTGAGCTGTCAGCAATACTGGGTGCACAGCTTGCAGCACCAGCAGCCGAAGAAGAAGAAGAAGAAGAAGAAGAAGAAGGATAGAGTTGTCGCTTGCCACGACCATTGTGGCAGGAAGAGTATCTTGCTGTGGGTGGAAGAGTATCTCGCTCTATTCCCTGATTTGGAAATATGTCTCGGCGTAGATGTGATTCTGCGTCTCTTCGAATAGCAAGCGCTTCTTCAAAAGAGATTGGACAGTGGGCCAGATTGTTCTTCTTGATATCTAAATGCAGTGCTTCTAAGCTATTCAGCTGGAAGATGAGAAGCTGACAGATGGCTTCCTCAGAGACGTGACATTCCTTCAGAGAAAGCGACTTAAGACTATCCAATGGCAACGAGCAGAACCGACTGTGGAAATTCCAATAGGATCTGGTCAAAGCAAAAGAGAAAGAACCATTCCCATAATTATTCACGATCGGGGTAGCCAATTTTGCGCAAGCGCCATCTAGGCGTGCAGCGGCAGTTGTCGGTGTCGGTATCTTATCTATCCATTTACATCTGCAAGTCGGTGTTGACATCAGTTTCGGTCGTCCGGTGATGGTTAAGTCCTTCAACTTGGGGCAGGTGATCTGAAGGTTATGGAAACCCTCTGCGTAGATTACAAGGGTAAGGTCAACAAGATTGGGGCACATGATGCGATTCACTGGGAGTGGATCGTCGTCATCATACCAGACCAGTGCAAGGGACCTGAGCGACGATGGAGAAGACACAGAGAACCCCCTTGACACGAGAAAGCACGTTACAGACTGTAAGGATGGCATCTGTTGAAAAATACGATCGAGACCCTTCGGACTGGTGCCAAGCCGTCCCATTCCTCCCAACACAAGAATCCGAAGAGGATGCGAGTTGTGCCCACTTCGACAATCAACCAAGGATGGCGACGTCGCTGTTCTTACCACCCCCGCCTCTTTCTCGTCGTTATGCTCCTCCTCCTGCTTCTCTAGCTCCTCCTCGTTCGAGTCCTCCTTCTTCTCCCCCTCTTCCTCAACATTGCCATTCTCCTCCGCAGTGCCATCGTCGTCCTCCTCTTCCTCATCCTCCACTTCGTATTTCTCTTCTCCAGCATGATATCGGGGTTGTGGATGGACCATGTCAGCACTATGTGGACCCTGCAAGCAGCTCTTCATTTCGACCCAATCGACAGCCGTGCTCTCAAAAGGGAACTGGTTTTCCCAATCAAGATGCAAGGTGAGCAAGAGAGGACATGCACGCAAGAGACGAGCAATAACTCTGGCAAGCCCGCTCCCTGATGACGGCGTCCACACATAAATGCGGAGTGCGGTCAGATTCGGCAATAAGTCGGTAAAGGCGGCCATTTGTCGAGGATCTCCTGCGAAAGTGTAGCGCGAGTCCAACCAAAGTTTTGTAATTGGCAAAGGTGGGGGCGCTCGTGTGGGTGTCAGCGATCTCTTTCTTTTGCCCTCCTCTCCCCATGTCTCTTTCTTCTCCTCTGCGCCTGACACCGGCCATTGCCAGGGATCTGGCTCTTCGGGCACGCACGCATATGAATGAACCTCAAACATCAGGCTCCTCAAGCTCTTGAAAGAGAGGAACAAGTGACACAATGCGATTAGTCCTGGTTTAATCCGACCATGTCTTGGCCCAATACCATACTCTAGCCGGGTGCCAGGCCGGCAAGATCTCGCTAAAATGAGTGTTTCTGCGAAAGTAAGATGAGTGAGCGCACAAGGCTCACACGAGTCCGCAAAGTCTGAGATATTTTTCAGGCACAGATGAGTGAGAGAGGGAAAGAGATGTCTTAGCGACGAGTATTTCTCTCCAGCACCACAAAAATGGACGCTGAAGAAGGACAGGCGTAATCGTTCCAACGAAGAAGACGAAGACGAAAGAAGCATGTCCAAGTGAAAACTTGAGTATCCGACAAACCCGAGGTCCAGACACTGCAGATGCCCGCACCTGTGGAAAAGCGTTCTAAGACCATCTTCGTACCCATGCCCATGAAGGTTTTCCAGGGAGACATGTCTCAGTGACGAAGGAAACAAACCTATCCATGGACAGTACCTGGGAGTGGATTCATCCTGATCCTTTCTGAGGGCTACAACATCATGAGCTGAAAACGACTCCAGCCGCTCCATGCGCCTCAGGACATCGCAGATCCACTGACGCCGTAGGTCATCGTGCTCATCCTCAGACCAAATGCCAGGTAGGAATTTCAGCGCTGACACTTCCCTGACAAGTTTTGCGAATCGCTTTGACAACACACTTGCTTTCATCAACTCCATTGCATTGCCAAGCCCGATCTCCGTCAGAACCTTCAACACCAACCCATCATGCAGGCACTCAAATGAAGAATCCATAATATGAGATGGAATCATTCGTTTGAAGAAGGTGGAGAATGCCTAGTGCAGGCACTATATCCCTTTCCCTACCTGCACTTTATGCAAGAGAGATGCACAGAACCTATAGCAAAATAAGCATCCACCACTACCAACATAAAGCGGATGTCTCTCACAACAGCTTTGCTGATAACAACCAACTCTCTCCTGCCCTTCCAGCTCTACAACGATGGTAGACAGGCAAGAGACAGTTTCATGTCTGCCTCCCTGCCTCCCTGCCTCCCTGCCTTCCTCTCTCTCTCTCTCTCTCTCTCTCTCTCTCTCTCTCTCTCTCTCTCTCTCTCTCTCTCTCTC